TCTCTTTGGATTTGTTTATTCTAGACATTTCATATGAATAAAATCACACACAACATGCGCCCTTTTTTGACTAGTCTCTTTACTCAGTGTTATATTTTCAGGGTTCATCCATGTTGTAGCATAAATCAGTACTTCATTCTTTTTTATGGCTGAATAATATTCCATTGTATGGATATGTCACATTTTGTTCATCTGTTGATGGACATTTGGGTTGTTTTATTATGAATAGTGCCATTATGAACACTCTTTTTTTTTTTCTTTTCTTTTTTTTTTTTTATTATGCTTGTGGTTGAATATTATGAACACTCTTGTACAAGTTTTTGTTTGAACACCCATTTTAAATTATTTTGGATATATTCCTAGGAGTACAGTTGCTGGGTCATGTGGTAATTCTATGTTTAACTTATTGAGGAACTGCCACACTGTTTTCCACAGTGGTTACACTATTTGACATGCTCACCAGCAATGTGTAAGGGTTCCAGTTTCTCTACATGCTTGCCACTACTTGTTTGTTTGTTTGTTTGTTTGTTTGTTTTTTTTAAATTTCAGAATTTTACAGGGGTACATATTTGGTTATATAATACTTTCGTACAGTTTGAGTCAAAGTTACAAGTGTGCCTTCAGTCAGTTAATATGCATTGTACCCATTAGGTATGAATTTACATAACCACCCCTTCCCACCTACTTGATTTCCCCTAAATTTTAGTTCCATATGTTGGTCAGTTAGTTCCAATTTAATATTGATACATGTGGTGTTTGTTTTTCTATTCTTCCAATACTTCACTAAGAAGAATGGCTTCCAGTTCCATCCAGGTTTTACGCCACTACTTGTTATTGTCTTTTAATTTTACTATCCTCTACCAGTAACCTTTTTAGAACTAGAATAAAATAGAAAATACTAAAGTATATTGCACATAAGCATACATCTTTTATTTCAAATAAGTGTGTATATATTGGGTTGAGAAATAAATATATATTTTTAATGGGTTGCCAATAAAACTTGAGAAATACTATTAATATTAGTTAAACCCCTTGTTTTATAGAAAGGCCAGAGACTTGAGGTGGGTTATCCGGTGACATATAATACAATTAATAAGTGATCGAGCCATTCTAGGACCCAGGTATTCTGATTCCAAGGTTGAAGCTTTTTTTCTCATCAAGTACCTTTCTTTGTCCAGGGACAAATCATGAGGCTTTTGTACTTGATTGAGTAGTAGTCACTTCAACACAGTTTTCTATTGTCTTACCACATTTAGGGGTAAGATTTTTGCTCTGCTGTCTCTCAGCTATCTTTCTTATAATTTTATTTATTTATTTATTTTTTGAGACAGAGTCTTGCTCTGTTGCCTAGAATAGAGTGAGTGCCGTGGCGTCAGCCTAGCTCACAGCAACCTCAAACTCCTGGCTCAAGCAATCCTTCTGCCTCAGCCTCCCAAGTAGCTGGGACTATAGGCATGTGCCACCATGCCTGGCTAATTTTTTCTATATATAAGTTGGCCAATTAATTTCTTTCTATTTATAGTAGAGACGGGGGTCTCGCTCTTGCTCAGGCTGGTTTCGAACTCCTGACCTTGAGCAATCCACCCGCCTCGGCCTCCCAGAGAGCTAGGATTACAGGCGTGAGCCACCGAGCCCGGCCTTCTTTTCTTATAAATTTGTCTAGTATTTATTTTTAATTTGCTAACCCAATTGTCGACTACTGTTCAGGATCTTTCATAAACTTCTGTTATTTTTAACAAATTTACTTTGACCTAGTCCACTGAAAAGCAAAGTTCAGGGATCTGAATTTTATGTTCTTAAATTTACAAAGAAAAGGGAGAAAAAGAGAAAAGAAGGACTACCCCTTTTTTAAGCAAAGATTTCCTGCACAAATGTTCTGATTTTGATATAACTGATAGGTATATTGGAAACTGATGTAATTTCCTCATACGGTCCTCATATGAATATCATATTTGACCCTACAGTTTAGGGGAAAATAAATCTTTAAAGTCTCAGAAAAAAGTCATGAAGTTGGTAGGAATAGAAATTTTCAAGGATAGCTTAAAAGAGTGGGTATTATTTACACAATGAAATGGAATAATCTTGATGCTGGGATAAATCTCTAGAAGCTATCTGCTTTCATGTGGGGTAAATGAGAATAATACTTAAAAATAAACAAAGCTAATCCCAGGGTAGATGGCTATCTCCATTGCTTTGAAATATCTTCAGAGATGGAGATTTCTTAGGTAATTTTAATGTTTACCCTGATAGCTGATATTGCTGTATGGCTTCTCAGAGTATGAAGATAGAATTTTCAGATAAAGTAACTCTTGGTGATTGCTTTCTGTTGCCTATTTTAAACTCTTCATTCTTTTACATTTTAGACTGCCAGGAGAGGGCCATGGTGGGAGGGGAAAGTTCAGGGGGATGGATTTGTGGACCTATGTGTGTTTGTATTTATCTGTTTAATTGTATCCCGAAGCCAAATGTGTTAATAAATGATTTTCCTTTAAGATCATATACCCTCTTGTAACATAAATAATCAAGATTTAAGTGTTGTATGAAATGTTAAAGAAGATGAGATGATGGGAACTTAAAACAATTTCTGTTGAAAATCAAGTAAGAGAAAATAGATCAAACTATAGGGCAAGGAATTTAAACTGGATATAAAGAACTTCCTTGTAGGAAAGTTGTTACAGACTAGAATTTATCACCAAAGCTAGATTTGCAATGCCTGCTTCTGCTTTCCCTTTGTGGAGTGCCTCCATCCTGCCTTACTCTAGGTACTTCTCTGCCCTAGTACTTCCTTCTTTGTCTATTTCCCACCTAGCATTTAGGTCATTCTTTCCCACTAGCCCTGTGGTTCTCCACTTATCTCTCTTTCTTGTCCATGTGGTTCATCCTCATGTCTGTTGTCTAATAGGGTTGAGGAAGGGAATCTCTTCTCTTTGTGCTCTTTCCTCTCTTTGTTGTCTCTCTGTTGTCTCTGCGTCTTCATCTTTATTATGGAAGAGTGTGTGTGTTTAACAGGACTGAATTAGTTGCATCTGAAAGGATTTTTCAAATTCCTTCTGAAATTGTATACAGTGTTGAAGAATGTAAGTGGATTTTTGTTTGTTTGAAGTAACAGAACCATCAGAGAATGGAACATTTCTTTGAGTATGTAGAAAATTAACCATTCTAGAAAAATAGGTATTTTTGAAGTGCTTTTAAAGATGCCTCATTTAGGAACATTTTTTTTGTAAACTTACAACTAAATTTTCTCACATTTGAAATTAAGAATTTTTATATGACACCAAAATATGAATGAGAATGAGTATCAAAACAAGGATCTCTGAGTTAATGTTGCCAACAGGTGTTATTCATTAAATTATTTGACATTATATTTAATATCAAAGGAAAGACCCTCTGTCAGAATTTATTTAAAAAGAACTGAGTGAAGACAGTGAACTCATCTGATTTCTCCTAATCAGCATTTTAAGACTAGTGTAATAGGTATTTATTGCTTTCTGTATGACCTCAGAAATGTTATTGTACAGAAGCAGCATCATTTTTAATGTCCTTTTAGTTGATAAGCTTATTTTCAAATACATATTCATTTCATCAGAGGACTTGTGTCATTTGATATTTCAGATTTTCTCTTAAATATTTATTTGTTTTAGCTACAATGTGGTTCATATCTTCTTGTCAAGCTACATATATTTAATGAAGTTTTGAAAACTCTTATAAGCATCTGGAAACTTAATCTGTTTTATTTGTTCATTAAATACTTTCAATGGAAACATTTGAGTCTGAATGATGAGAGTGCTTTGGGCAGCTTTTCTTCCTAAGAAAGCTATCTGGAAACGTCCCCAGTTAAACTGATAAAAGCAGCAATGGAATTTATCTGAAAACTTTATCCATTTAAATCATAGTTATCGACAGGTTTAATGAGACAAACATGGAAAAGAATAAGGAAAAAAAATAAAAGAATAAAAGAAAAGAAAAATTAATTAAAAATAAATAAATAAATCATAGTTATCAATTTTGCTGTACTATTTGGTTACCCAGGCTTCTGCAACTCTGTAAAAGAAACTTTACAACATTTCTCCAAAAGGTACATAGCCTATGTTCACAGAAATGGCAGTTTGGGTTTCTTTTGCTGAGTTTTTCCAGTGTACTACCCAGCATGCTATCGTGATATTAGAGATGAAATAATATACTTTGAGAAAATATTTAAAGATAAGACATTTAGTTAAAATATCCAAAGTAAAACATAACAATATTATAAAGGTAACATTTGGAGGGTGAATTAAAGCACAGGTGTATGCATTATATGTGTGAGCATGCACAGTTAACCAGAGGAGAGTCCTCCCAAGGGCATATAGTAATATAACTAGTATGTATAAGCTCCTCTAAGCACTGGTCAGTGTACATTACATGTTACTGTATCAGGCAAAAAGACATCTCAGGAAAACTTTTCTAAAACAGATAAATAATATATCACAATCAAGCCCTAGAATCTGCAAAAAAAAAAAAAGTATCTTTTTTTTTTTCTTTTGGTGTGGCAGAAAAGGCAGTCTTAGAAGTTGAAGAAATTGATTCTCATTCTGGTGTCATTTTTGTGTGTGACTTTAGGCAAATCACTTATTCTCTACTTCATTTGCTTCATCTGTAGAGATTTGATCTGACAAGTGTCTCATTGTTTTAAATTGGGAAAAGATTCTCAAGGTTTTTATGAGAAATAAAATAATGTATATAAAAAATATGATAATTGTTCCATAGCATACTATTCAATAATGGCAGTGACTAATATGTAATTCAGCCAAATACGTATTGTTTTTTAATAATGGTTGGTGCTATCTAATTATAGAAGCTGAGCTTAAGTGCAAGTGGTCTTAATTTAGCCTGGCAGTGTTGATTAACATAATAAGTTTGGAAACAACTAAGGAAAGATAATTTCAGTGAAAACAGCTTTTATTAATTAAAGAACAAAAACATGAGTAGGACTTCACAGAGGTGAATGAAGTTGCAAAGGATGATACTTATTTGGAACAAGTTTAATACATTGCCACACTAGAAAAAAAAATTTCTTCCTTGGGGCCGTGTGGAGAATATATACATACAGGTGACCCTCTGTATCCGTGGGTTCTTCATCTGTGGATTCACTCAACCTTGGAATGAAAATATTTTAAGAAAAATTACATCTATACTAAAGTTGTACAGACATTTTTTCCTTGTCATTATTCCTTTAAACAATACAGTATAACAACTATTTATATTGTATTAGGTATTATAAGTTATCTAGAGATGATTTAAAGTATACCAGGGAATGTGCATAAGTTATATGCAATTACTTTGCCATTTATATAAGGGACTTAAGTATCACAGATTTTAGTATCTGGAAGATACCTGGAACCAATCCCCTACAGATACTGAAGGACTTCTACATATGTATGATATAAGGAGGACTAAATATATATATTTTATAAGGAGAACTAAAGCTGTTTTTATTTTGGGAGGAAAGATCGGGAACCACAAGAATCAACTTAACTGTTAGAATCTCTTTAAAAATTTAACTACTGTTTAAATAGTGGGATATAAGATAAATGTATACGAATCAATGGCTTTTCTGCAGGCCTTGTAAGAAGAAAACCTAACAGAAAGATTTAAATGGGAAGATATTTTCCATGTGACTAAGACAGATAGTGTCTGCTTTAAATTTTTCCAGGCTCATTTACAAGTTTTAGTTCAGTCAGAGTCTCAATAGGACTTGTCTTTTTGGAAGAATGGGAAAGAGGGAGTGGGAGGTAACTTGAAAAAAATGATTCTTAACTAATTTTGAATAGTCAATTTTTTTTAACTGCCATATGAGTAGTATTTAACTCATGCTAGTTTTGAGCCCAGGGCCTTGTGAAGCATATGTAACTTACATGTCTCTTCACCTTGGGAGCTGTGTGAACTCTTTTTCAAGTTGCATATAATTCATGCACAGAAAATAATAAAAAATAAATTTTTCATTAAATTAGGATCGTTTTATTTTCAAAGTCTTTATTTTCATAATAAAACACTGTGGCCCCAAGGAAAAAAAATTGGGGGGGGGTGTGGCAGTCACTGTGTTAAAAGGTAGTAATCAGGTATTTGTCATGTCAGTATGAACAAAGACTATAATGTTACTATGATAGGATGCTGTAGTTCTGATAGACCAACAGAATAGAAACAGACCCTGACATATCTAAGAATTTGGTGGCATCGTAAATTGGTGGAAAAGGAAGTATTATTCAATAAATGTTACTAGAATAATTGGTTAATGCTTTGGAAGAAATATAAAGTTAAAATTTCTCCCCAAATGTATACTAAAATAAATTCCAGATGAATTAAAGTTAAACAGAAGTCAAATAGTAAAATGAAATAGAAGCCATAGGAAGCTAGAAGAAATGTAGAGAAATACTTATTTAATGACCAACAAGAAGGAATTTATAAGCATAGAAACAGTGAAAGAAATCACACATGGAAAGAGGAATCATTCCTAATATGTAAGAGTTGAAAAGTTCTACAATAAAACCAACTGCAAGGCTGGGCATGGTGGCTCACGCCTGTAATCCTAGCACTCTGGGAGGCCGAGACAGGAGGATTGTTTGAGCTCAGGAGTTCGAGACCGGCCTGAGCAAGAGTGAGACCCTGTCTCTACTAAAAATAGAAAGAAATTAGCTGGACAACTAAAAATATATAGAAAAAATTAGCCAGGCATAATGACTCATGCCTGTAGTCCAGCTCCTGGGGGAGGCAGAGGCAGAAGGATTGCTTGGGCCCAGGAGTTTGAGGTTGCTGTGAGCTAGGCTGACTCCACGGCCCTCTAGCCCAGGCAACAGAGCAAGACTCTGTCTCAAAAAAAAATAAATAAAAAATAATAAAGCAACTACAAATATAATTAATAGACAAATAGAAAAATTAGAAAACTATTCCCAACAAATACGACAAGAGTATTTGCTGATACATGTGCATGCGCACACACATGTACACACACCCTATTGGCGGGCAGGGAAGAGAGTACCAGTGGTTCTTAACCATTTTGGAATAACCCTTTCCCAGAAAAATACTTGTGCTGTATATGCACACCAACACGCACACTATACATACACATGCCTACAACTTTCAATACAGTTTTAGGAGACACACATATTTATTAGAGTTTTATGGCCCACAAAAGAAGTGCTTGGTAAGTGTGAGTAAAACTTCAACAGCTCAATCAGTCAAAGAAACTGAAGATTTTTGAAAATGATAGTATCAGATATTGGTGAAAATATTGCTAATGGGACATACATTTTTCCCTAGAAAGCTGTTTGACTTTTAAAATGTCAGAATCTGATTTAAAAGTTCTGTTTCTAGGAATTATTTTAAGAAAACATCAGAATCTCAGACAAATTTATATGCAGCAATGATTATTATGTACCTAAGTGCTCAACTTTAGTGTAATGGTTACTATAAATTATTGTTTAACCATGTAATAGAATATCATGGAGCCATTATATATGTTTTTAAAGACTAGTAATATGGGAAGATAATTATAATGTACTGTTAAATTAAAAAAAAATGAAATACATTAAGATGTTAAGAAAAAAACCTTATTTTTAGATGATGGGATTATTGGTGGTTTTAAGTGTCTTTGTTAATTTCTGTATTCCTCCCATCATTTTATAGTGAGCATATTTTAGTTTTATAGTTAAAACACTTTTTAAAATATGTAAGTTATTCTGTTATATAATTTTTAAAGAGTTTTACTTAAAAATCAATAAAGTGACAATGATTAAACTCTAAAATATATGCTATTTTGGGGTTTTTCTTCCTGAAAATGTAAAGTTACTGGTTCAAGAAATTTTCTCTTAAAACAGATGTTGAATTAAGACCGAAAGAATTAATTTTTGGATATCTTTTTCTCCTCCTACTAGAAGTAGAAGACTTATTTTCTTCACTTAAACATATCCAACATACTTTAGTAGATTCTCAGAGCCAGGAGGATATTTCACTGCTTTTACAACTTGTTCAAAATAAAGATTTCCAGAATGCATTTAAGATACACAACGCTGTCACAGTACACATGAACAAGGCCAGTCCTCCGTTTCCTCTTATCTCCAATGCACAAGATCTTGCACAAGAGGTATGTATTCTGAACAAATCGATGATATCTACAATGTAATTATTCGTGACAGTAAGGCAGTATTATTGGAAAATACTAATGTGACGCTAAGGTTTGTTTGAGTTAATTATTGCTGATCACATGTTAAATTTATTGTGATAGAAAAATTTGCTACATTTGTTTTATCCTGAAAAAATATAGTTTACAGAGCTCTGTTTCACAAAAAGAGTTAATTTTATATATAAAATTACAAATTTAGGTAGTAAAAGAAATATTTGAATTACTAGAAGGCAACATTTTTTAATGCTCTTGGTATAGTTTTATGAATTTTAAGCATTATACTGAGATAATACAGATATAAAATTATAACTGACAATTAGGTATTATAAATACATAACTCCTAAAGGTTTATTACTTTTAGGGATTTTGAAGTTTTTCCTATAAAAACTGCAAAAGTTTCAAATTATTAAATTTTAATGTGCTGCGAGAGTTTCTTTGTTAACATGCTGATTTTTAAGTTCTAGTTTCTGATGCTAGTTGATATTCAGTTTTTAATCTTCTCTGCAGACATCTTTTAAATTAAAGATATAAAAACTATAAATAAACTCTTGTTTGTTGGGGTGGACAGTCTATCATTATTACAGGGTTTTAAGTATATTGATATTGTAAAAACTAATAATTCTGGAAGCTCATGAAGTGAATGTATTTCATTGAATCTAAATATGAGACAGAAAGTGGGCTGTGGGGAGGGTAGGACTTCCAGAGCTACAGGTCTGTAAAATAGGTTAGAAGGTACTCTTCAGATTAGCACAGAATGGTTTCTAAGGAAGATATTTTCCTTTTGAGATGCCTAAGATGGCAAAGATCCTATGTGCAATAGTGGTTGAGAAAAGTCTAGTGTTGCCCAGGACCTAGACCTAGGAGAGTATGACCCAAGAACCTGTTCCTAGAGAAGAAATTTTCCATTCACCAGGGTTTAAAAGAGCTAGTTGAAACCTGTTTCTTGAGCTCATCTTTTATTGAAGTTAAGTATACAAGACTTTTTATGCTAAAAAATTGTCACTTGTATGCAAGATTTTTTATTTTAAAAATTATAGTTAAATGGTTTTTCTGAAAATCACTTTTCTTAGAGAGATTGAAATAACCAACATTACTTTGATCTTACACTATTCACAAATATATTGTAACTTTTATTGTTTGGGGTTGGGAAGAATACAGAACAAATCATAATCATTCCCTTCCCTATCTTCAAGAGGAAAGTTTATCCAGTTACTGGGCCTTTGTTTTGCTGAATGGAACAATAAGCAAAGAAGAGAGTGAGAGAAGCAAGAGACAACAAAATTGCTCTAATTGAGAAAAGCTGGCACAGAGTAGAAAGAATGAAGAAAAGCAACATGGCGTTTAAAAGGTTTTAGAAGTTGAGAAAAGCAAAGAACTAGAAGTGGCTTAAAGAGTAAATGCCTCAGGGAAGAAAGAAATGGTTAAAAATAACTTTAAAAGAACATCAATTTTGGCCAGGTGGCATGGCTCACATCTGTAATCCTAGCACTCTGGGAGGCCAAGACCGGAGGATTTGCTTGAGCTCAAGAGCCGAGAGGACTGATTGAGCTCAGGAGTTCGAAACCAGCCTGAGCAAGAGCAAGACTTTGTTTCTACTATAAATAGAAAGAAATTGGCCAAAGAACTAAAAATAGAAAAAATTAGCCGAGCATGGTGGCACGTACCTGTAGTCCCAGCTGCCCAGGAGGCTGAGGCAAGAGGATCGCTTGAGCCCAGGAGTTTGAGGTTGCTATGAGCTAGGCTGATGCCACAGCACACTAGCCCAGGCAACAGAGTGAGACTCTGTCTCAAAAAAAAGAAAAATCAATTTTGAGTATTAGTTTTAGTATAGCTAACATTCACATAGTTCACAGTTTTAAAAGTACCACATAAAGGAGATTTTTCTGATAGTTTGCTTTCAGATCCTTACAATATCTTCTGTAATACAATGTGAATGGTTTCCACTGGAGTTATGCAATACAGTGACTATGAAGTAGTCCTGACTTTCAGTACATAACACTTGTGGAAAAAGCACATACTCAGAGCTCATCGAAGAAAAGTAGTAACAAAGTTCTAAATGACCCCAATGTCTTTATTTTACTGCTGGAAAAAACCTAAGCAATCACCTAATCCAATCCCCCTGTTTTATATTTCTGAATATTGAGACCACGTGAAGTTTGGTGACTGACACATGATAGTTAATCTGTTCATGTGCCCATTGCATAATAATGCTTTGCTTTTTAGCATTCCTAATTCCAGCAATTTTAATATACAGTATTTAAAAGAAGAAATTACTTCATGTTTCAACTGAATCGTTTCTCAGGGGAAATTTAATGTAAGTACAAAAAAAAAACCACTTCAAATAATTCAGTGAAACATTAAGAAGTGTTCTTCATTTTTATAGCTTAAAATATCAGTTAAACATTAAGTATATAGTACATGCTAACTAGTAGATAATATTAAATACATAAAGCCTATGAAAACTTCACATACTGAGATCTAGATTAAATCTTTGATCTAGGATATTAATAAACACAAAACAATTTTTCTTACTACAGTGCTTTTTTTTAATTTCAGCATATTATGGGGGTACAAATGTTAAGGTTATATACATACTACAGTGCTTCTATAAAGAAAAAGTTAGACTTCATTAAATGAATTTTTGCTTATCCAAAAATAGCTTTAAGGGAGTAAAAATGCAAGCCAACATACCAGGAAATGGTATTTGATTTTGAGATATTGAAAGATTTGTGTGTGTGTAAATACATATATGGCAAAAACGTATCTACAGAATGTATAAGGAACTCTTGCAAAGTAATAAGAAAAAAGACTATTCAGTTAAAAAAGATTGGCTGGGCATGGTGGCTCACGATTGTAATCCTAGTACTCTGGGAGGCCGAGGTGGGTGGATCGCTCAAGGTCAGGAGTTGGAAACCAACCTGAGCAAAAGCAAGACCCCGTCTCTACTAAAAATACAAAGAAATTAATTGACCAACTAAAAATATATAGAAAAATTAGCCGGGCATGGTGGCACATGCCTGTAGTCCCAGCTACTTGGGAGGCTGAGGCAGGAGGATTGCTTGAGCCCAGGCATTTGAGGTTGCTGAGCTAGGCTGATGCCACAGCATTCACTCTAGCCTGGGCAACAGAGTGAGACTCTGTCTTAAAAAAAAAAAAAAGATTGGCGAAGAACAGACACCTTATTCAAAGAGGGAATCCAAATGGCCAATAAGCATGAAAAGATATTCAGCATCATTAGCCAAATTAAAACAAAATGAGACACCACTGCACAGATATCAGAATGACTATAATTTATGGCACTGTCAAGTGTTGGTGAACTTATGGAACAACTGAAACTCTCATACATTAATGATAGAGTATAAATTGGTTCTACCACTTTGGAAAAATTTTTGCCAATATTTACTAAAACTAATGTACCTATATACTGTGACCCAACAATTTTACTTTGTAGGTATGTACCCAAGAGAAATGAAAACATTCACACAAAGGATCAAGAATAGATGTCTATAGCAATAGTCAGAAATTGGAAACAACCCAGATATTTATCAACCTTGAAAGTTGTATAAGGCTGTCATTGTGTAGGAACAGTGAGTGAACAACTACAATCTAATGAGCAGTGCTGTGATGGCAGTATGAGAAAATTGCCAACAGCACAGTGGAATGTGCCTAATTGTGTGTGAGGTGGCAGGCTAAGCAAAGTGATGGGAAGAAGGAAGAACCATAGAAGGAAATTTAATTTGCTGAGTCTTGCAGAACTATTGGAAATTTAACAGGAAGCCTAAGAAAGAGTAAAAGGCATTCCATTGTTGAAGGGCACAAAGGCAGTAGTGACTGAGAAAGCCTGGCATATTTCTTGAACAATTAGTAAGGGGCAGGATATAATCTTAAAAGATGATATCCAGATCCTAAAAGCCAACTAAACCATATTAATAAGTTTACCCTATAATAGATCTACTTTAGTATATATTTTTTAAATAATTAACTTACATGAATAGGCAAAAGGAGAAAATAGTATGATCAATTAGATGTAGAAAAGACACCTGAATAAAAGTCAATACTTTTTCCTTGATGAAAATTCTTAGAAAGCCAGGCACATTTGTTAACTTGATACCAGAAACTAATAGCATCTTACTTAATGGTGAAATACCCAATACATTGCCATTTATGCCTGGAATAAGGTAAAGAATCTCCGGACTCCTACCATTATTCATCATTTTTTTGGAGGTACTAGCCAGTGCAGTAAAACTGGAAAGAGTAACGAAATACAAAGTTGTAGAGGAATAGGGAATATAAGAATTTGTTCTAATTTGAATGGGTTAAATTAGTTAATTTGAACAAAAAAAAACCCTTTATTCATGATATTAAACATGTTACCAACAGTTATAATTTATACACATGCATAACATATATCCCATTGAAACATGCATATAAGAGCTATTGGAGACTGGGCACCATGGCTCACACCTGTAATCTCAGCACTTTGGAATGTTGAGGTGGGAGGATTGCTTGAGGCAAGGAGTTGCAGACCAGCTTGGGCAACTTGGCAAGACCCTGTCTCCAGGCCGGGCACGGTGGCTCACGCCTGTAATCCTAGCACTCTAGGAGGCCGAGGCGGGCGGATTGCTCGAGGTCAGGAGTTCGAAACCAGCCTGAGCAAGAGCAAGACCTCGTCTCTACTATAAATAGAAAGAAATTAATTGGCCAACTAATATATATAGAAAAAATTAGCTGGGCATGGTGGCACATGCCTGTAGTCCCAGCTCCTCTGGAGGCTGAGGCAGGAGAATTACTTGAGCCCAGGAGTTTGAGGTTGCTGTGAGCTAGGCTGATGCCACGGCACTCACTCTAGCCTGGGCAACAAAGCGAGACTCTGTCTCAAAAAAAAAAAAAAAAAAGACCTCTCCACAAAAAAAAAAAAAAAATTGTTTTTAATTAGCCAGGCATGATGACATGCACCTGTAGTCCCAGCTACTTGAGTTTGAGATTACAGTGAGCTATGATCACACTACTGCACTCCAGCTTGGGTGACAGGAGACCCTGTCTCTTAAAAAAAATATGTTGAAAGAAATAATAACTTATTAACAAGGCTATCTCTGGGTGGTAGATAAATAGGTAATGCTATTTTCTTAAGCTCACTCTAAAGAAAATTTTAAAGCAAGGAATTTATTCTGTGCTTGTTTGTGGACCTACTGAATAATTTTAAACAGGAGCTTGCCATAAACAAGCTTATAACTTAAAATATCACTTTGATAACATTGTGGAAGGTGTGAGGTCAAGAATGGAGGCATAGATTAATTTGTAGGCTGTTGTCTAGCTGTAAGATTTGGAATAGCAATTGAACATGACGTATAGAAATATTTAAATAGAAAATTAAAGATAGTTACATCTTCAGTAAACTCAGTCTGGTGGGGATACAGCCTGATTGACAATTTTAAACCAAATGTATTTAGTCTTATAAGTACATGTTATCTAGGCAACTATTATAGCCTGAGGCAGTTCTGGTCCCTGGAACAACTAGCATAATCACAGTCATTGTGGTTTGTTCAGGGAACAACAAACAGTTCAATGCTAGACCAAAAAGTGTAAGGCATGAGAAATGCCAGGAGACAAGCCTGGAGAAAAGGCAAGGATCAGGTGATGAAGGTTCTTATATTTAATGCTAAGGAGCTTAGGCTTGATCCTGTGTGACAGAGAGCAAATGAGAACTAGAATGGTAATATTTTTGTTTGTGAATTGAAAAGGATATTTAGTGACATAGAAAAATAAAATATTTTAAGAATGTATCAGTATCAAATCAAAATAGTTATAAGACGCTATTATAAGACAATATGAATAGCATGATCTCATTTTGGTAAATATAAACAAAGGATAAAGAAAGGTTATACAGACTGATTTTCTCAATGTTGGGTATATTTCTCAATATGGGTATATTTTTTTGGTAACCAACTTTATTGAGATATAATTTACATACACTTACAGGTATGTTTTATTGTATAGTTCAATGTATTTTGACATATGTATACACATATGAAATCTGCCACCGTCATCAAGTTACAGAAGGAAGCATCTATCACTCCACAAAGCTACCTCATGGCTTTTTGCAGACAACAACCACCTCTTCCCCCAAACCCTACAGACTTCCACTGATCTGCTTTCTGTTTTACAAATTTTGCCATTTATGGACAATTCATATAAATGGAATAGTATGTAGTCTTTTGTGTCTGACTCCTTTTGCTTACCATAATGTTTTTGAGATTTGTCCATGTTGTTTATGTATCAATATTTTGTAAATTGCTGAGTAGTATTCCATTTTATAAATATCCTGCAATTTGTTTAACCACTCACCTATTGAAGGCTGTTTATCATTCTAGCAGGTATATAATGGTATCTTGTTTTAATTTGCATTTCCATCATGGCTAATGGTATTGAACATTTTTCCATATGTTTATTGCCATTTTCCTATTTTTTTGTGAAATATCTGATCATTTTTTTTTCCATTTAAAAAAATGAGATTGTTAGTCTTCTTGAGTTGTAAGAGTTTTTAATATATTCTGATTATAAGTCCTTTGTCAGATACATATTTCAAGGTAAATATTTTGGTAAAAACAAGTATGAAAATGCATGAAGGATATATACCAAGGTGATTTTCTTATACCCTAGGTATAAAAGTCCTTCCTTTTATTTTCCTTTTGGTTATCTATTTAT